GATGTGGGGCTCGATCCCAGGACCCTGAGATCGTGACCTGAGCTGAAGGCAGACTCTTAACGACTGAGCCACCCAGGTGCCTCAAGATTTTATTTATTTGAGAGAGAGAGCATGAGTGGTGGGGAGAGGCAGAGGGAGAAGCAGATTCCCCGCTGAGCAGGGAGCCTCATGTGGGGCTTGATCCCAGGACCCCGAGATCATGACCTGAGCTGAGGGCAGACGCTTAACCAACTGAGCCACCCAGGCACCCCTCTTCAGCTTTATTTTTCCACAACATATTATTAGTTGTGACAGTTATGAATTTTATGTAAATGGAATAATACTTTAATGATTTTTTTTTTATTCACAGTATGTTTTTGAGATTTATCTGTTTGGTGCATGTAGCTATAGTTGATTCATTTTCATTGTTATATAATATTTCAGGATGTGAATTACGTACTATATGCTGCTTTTGACAGACATACAGATTTTTGTCAAGTGTTTTGCATTATGAACAACTATTGTGAATATTTTTGTACATGTGCAGGAATTTCTTTAGCTCACTACTCTTCAAACTGCTGGGTGTGCTCCAAAACGGGTCATAAAATCAGATTAATAGGGAGCAACCAACATTAAAAAATGAAAGAGAACAGAAGAAAATTCACTGCATTTTCAGTATCCTATATATGTATACAGGTTTCACATATAAAACATATATATATACATATATTTTTTAAGATTTTATTTATTTATTTGACAGAGAGAGACACAGCGAGAGAGGGAACACAAGCAGGGAGGATGGGAGAGGGAGAAGCAGGCTTCCCGCGGAGCAGGGAGCTCGATGCAGGGCTCAATCCCAGGACCCTGGGATCATGATCTGAGCCGAAGGCAGACGCCTAACGACTGAGGCACGCAGGTGCCCCTGACACGTATTTCTTAAAGTGGTTCATGGTCAGAAAAGTTTTAGAAACCCTGCTCCAGGTATATACTTAGAATTGGAGGTGTGAGGTTATCAGGAAGGCCAGTTCGTTTTCAGAAGTGGTTTACTTTCCCACCATTGAATGGTTTCTTTTTTCTACCAGTGCTTAACCAGTGCTTAGTACGCCAGTGTTTTCAACTAGTCATTTTGGTAGTTGTATGGTAGTATCTTATTGTGATTCTAATTTGCCATTTTCTGATTACTAATGATGGTAAGTTCCTTTTTGTATATTTATAGGCCATATGGCTTTTCTCACTTGTAACTTGCATATGGCTTCTCCATGTTAGTGGTTCATTTATTTTAGTGTTCTTAAAAAATTGATTTTCTTTGTAAATACGAGAACTGATGCCCCTCTTGGCCTGTTTGGGAATCAAACCTGCAACGTTGGTGATGTTAGTGCCACATTCTGACCAAAGAAGCTAACCAGCCACCTGGCTGGCCCTTTCATTTATTTTATTCTTTGAAGGAAAAGTTCTTAATTTCAATGTAGTAAAAAATTTTCAGTGTTTTCTTTCTTTTGTGGTTAGTGCTTTTTGTGACCTGTTAAAGAAATCTTCCTAACTTGAGGTCCTGAAATTATTTTCCTATATAATCTTCTGAAGGAATGTTTTCTCCCTCCTCCTTACATTTAGTCTATAATCAACTCATCTGAATTTCATTTTGTGTATAGGTAAAATGTGGGGAAATACATATATGTTAACTTTTTCTTTTTGAGATTTATTTATTTATTTGAAAGAGGGAGAGAGTGTGCGAGCCGGGCCAGGGGCAGAGGGCTAGGGAGAGAGAATCTCAAGCAGACTCCCTGCTGAGGGCTGAGCCGGACTTGAGGCTCTATCCCACCATCCTGAAATCGTGACTTGAAGTGACAGCAAGAGTCAGATGCTCAACAACTGAGCCACCCAGGCACCCCAGGAACATCCAGTTTTAACATTATTCTTCCACTTCCGCTGTACAGTGGTACTGTATCATTAAATCAGCGGTTTATATATGTATAGATTTGTTTCTGGACTTTCTGTTCTGTTCTTTTGATTTGTCTTACCTTTGTGCCAGCACCATAATTCAAAAATTACTCTAGCTTTATATGTCTGTATATGAGATACCAGATAAAATCAGTCCTTCCCTCTTGTCTTCTCTTTTGCATCTATTTTTTTTAAATAAAGATTTTATTTATGTATTTAACATAGAGAGACACAGCGAGAGAGGGAACACAAGCAGGGGGAGTAGGAGAGGGAGAAGCAGGCTTCCTGCTGAGCAGGGAGCCCGATGCGAGGCTTGATCCCAGGACCCCGGGATCATGACCTGAGCTGAAGGCAGACGCTTAACTGGCTGAACCACTCATGCGCTCCCAGCAACATCTGTTGAAAAGAATTGTTTTGGCTCTCTTGTTGAAAATCATTTGACTGGGGCGCCTGGGTGGCTCAGTCAGTTAAGCATCTGCCTTTGGCTCAGGTCATGGTCCCAGAGTCCTGGGATCGAGCCCCGCACTGGGCTCCCTGCTCTGCAGGGAGTTTGCTTCTCCCTCTCCTTCTGCAGCTTCCCCTGCTTGTGCTCTCTTGCTCTCTCTCTCTCTCTGTCAAGTAAATAAATAAAATCTTAAAAAAGAAAAAAAATTGTTCAACTGTGTATGTGAGGATTTATTTCTGGGCTCTCTGTTCTTTTCTTTTGCTCTGTACATCTCCTGGTTATGCTAGTACCACACCATTTTGATTACTGTAGCTTTGTAGTAAGTTTTAAAATGAAGAAGTATGAGTTCCCCAACTTTGTTCTTTTTCAGTGTTGTTTTGGCTATTCATGGTCCTTGAAATTACAAATGAACTTTAGGAATGCATTTTTCTATTTCTACATAAAACATTGGAATTTTTTTTTAAGATTTTATTTATTTGTGAGAGTGAGAGAGCACACAGCAGGGGGAGTGGCAGGGAGAGCAAGGAACCCAACGTGGGACTCTATCCCAGGACCCTGGGATTACGACCCGAGCTGAAGGCAGCCGTTTTAACTGACTGAGCCACCGAGGCATCCCAAAATACTGGAATTTTGATAGGGATTGTATTGAATCTGTAGATTGCTCTGGATAATAAGGACATCTCAACAACATGGTCTTTCAATCCATGAACATAGATATCTTTATGTTTGTACAGTCTTTACTTTTAGCCACATTTTGTAGGTTTCAGTGTACAAGTTCTTTGTCTCTCTGGATAAGTTTATTCCTAAAATTTTTTTTTTTGACACTATTATAAATGCAATTATTTATTTTTTAGTACACTCCACACCCAGTGTGGAGCCCAATGCAGGGCTTGAACTCACGACCCTGAGATCAAGACCTGTGCTGAGATCAAGAGTCAGATGCTTAACTGACTGAGCCACCCAGGCGCCCTGATAAATGCAATTGTATTGTTTTACGTTTTTAAGTAATCTCTGTACCCAACATTGGGGCTCAAACTCATGGCCCCATGATCAAGAGTCACGTGCTCTTCTTACTGAGCCAGGTGCCCCTGCAATTGTTGTCTTAATTTCCCATTCAGATTGTTCATTGACAGTTATTTTTTAATTAAGCCTTTTATGTAGAGTCACATGCAGGTGTAAGAAATAACACAAAGAGATCTTGTACACCATCTGCTCAGTATCCCCAGTGTTAATATCTTTAAGAACCATAGGATAGGTTATTGGAATTTATACAGTTAACAGAATAATTCCATCAGAAGGATTGCTCATGGTGCCTTTTTTTTTCATAGTGCCTTTTTTATAGCTACAGCTGCTTCATTGCTCCCTCCAGGCTTAGTTCCTGGTAAGCACTGATGTATCATCCAGTTCTGTAATTTTGTCATTCCAGGGATGCTATATAAATAGAAGCAAAGACCATGTAACTTTTTGAGATTGGGTTTTTTTCTCACTCAACATGATTCTTTGGAGATTCATCCAGTTTGTTGAATATATCAGTAGCTCCGTTGCTTTTTATTGTTCAGTATGGTAAGTTATGGATATACCACAGCTTGTTTAATTATTCTGATGCAAGATGTTTCAGGTATTTATAGTTTGGGGCTAATATGAATAAAGCTAATATAACCATTCTTGTGTAGATTTCTATGTGAACATAGGTCTCCGTTTCTCTGGGATGAATGTCCAGTTGTACAATTGCTGAGTTGTATGGGGGCTTCATGTTTAGTTATTTAAAAGAGATTGCTAGGGTGCCTGGGTGGCTCAGTTCGTTAAGCGCCTGCCTGTGGCTCAGGTCATGATCTTGAGGTCCTGGGATCGAGCCCCTCTTTGTCCTGCTCAGCGGAGAGTCTGCTTCTCCCTCTACCTCTCTCCCTGCTTGTGCACTCTCTCTCTCTCTCAAATAAATAAAATCTTGAAAAAAAAAAAAAAAGAAATTGCCGAAGCATTTTCCAGAGTGACTGTACCATTTACATTTCTGCTAGAAATCTGAGCAAGCCAGTTTTTTGGCATCCTTACCAGCATGTGGCATTGTCACTATTCTTTTTATTTAGTAATTTTGGTAGGTGTATAGTGATATATTGTGATTTTAATTTGTATTTACGTAATAGCTGATGATGTTGACCATCTTTCCATGTGCATGTTTGCTATCTGTATATCCTCTTTAGGTCAAATGTGTTATCCTCTTTTGGTCAAATGTTTATTCATTACTTTTGCCTATTTTCCAATTATTGTGAAAATTAATTAATTAATTAAAAAGCTAATCTCTATACCCAGCGTGGGGCTCAAACTCCTGAACCCATGATCAAGAGTCACATGCTCCATCAACTGAGCCAGCCAACTGCCCCTGAAAACATTTATATTTAGAATTAGCCAGCTGGACTCAGGTTAGATGATCCCAACTTTGTTGGCAACATTCAAAGCATGATAGGAGCTAGGTGAACATATACTTTCTTCTCTCCATCAGGCCAGTTGTGGAGAAGGAAGGCTTGTATTTCCTGCTGCTCACACTGCCCCCGTACTCTCTCTTTTTCCCCTAGTCTTCTGGTACATCAGTGATTTCTTTGTTAATGTCATTCTTACTCAGATACTGATTGTTTTCATCATTTGTTTATTGTTTTTATTGTAGAGTTTGACAGTTCTTTATATATTCTATGAGCTCTTTGCCAAGTATGTGATTTGCTCTTATTTTATCTCAAATTGGAGCAAAGTCTTTAGTTTTGATGAAGCCCATTTTGTTGGTATTTATTTATTTATTAACATATAATGTAGTATTTGTTTCTGGGGTACAGGTCTGTGATTCATCAGTCTTACACAATTCAGAGCGCTTACCATAGCATATACCCTCCCCAATGCCCATCACTCAACTACCCTATTCCTCCCACCCCCCTCTGATGAAGTCCATTTTATAAATTTATTCTTTTATGGATCATACTTCTGTTGTCAAATTTAATAGCCCTTTACCTAATCCTAAATCCGAAGATTTTTCTCCAGTGTTTCCTTTATTTTTTTAATTAACTCTTTTTTTAAGATTTTCTTTATTTGACAGAGAGCGAGCGAGCACAAGCAGGGAGAACAGTAGAGGGAGAGGGAGAAACAGACTCCTTGCCCATCAGGGAGCCTGATGTGGGGCTCGGTCCCAGTACCCTGGGATCGTGACCTGAGCCCAAGGCAGATGCTTAACCATCTGAGCCACCATGGTGCCCCTTTTTTAAAGTAACTTCTATGACCAGTATGGGGCTTGAACTTGATCCCGAGATTAAGAGTTGCATGCTCTACTGATTTAGCTAGCCAGGTGCCACTCTTTTAAAAGTTTTATAATTTCATGCTTTACTTTTAAATCTGTGATTCATTTTGAGTTAATTTTTATATAAGGTGTGAGACTCTTTCTTTTTTTTCCTTGTTTCTTTGCCTATGCATTCATTTCCAAATGCTCCAGTGGCAACCATTTGTTGAAAAGTCCATCTTCCATCGAATTGCTCTTGCACATTTGTCCAAAATCAGCTGGGCATCTTTGTTTGAATATATTTCTGGGTTTTCTGTTCTGTTACATTGATCTTTGTGTCTGTCTCTCTGTCGGTACCAACTGTCTTAATTACTGTGTAAGATGATTCTTGAATCACATGGATGATTCTACTTTATTCTTTCACAAAATTATTTCGGCTATCTAGTTTCTTTGTGTTTTGGTTTTTAAATATATATTTTAGAATAACTTGTCTGTACATAGCCAAAACCTTTGTTAGGATTTTGATAGGAGTACCATTAAACCCGAATATCGGTTTGTGGAGAATTGATGTCTTTACTATGTTGAGTCTTCTCATCCATCAACATGATATGTTTATTTAGATTGTTGATTTTTTTTGGCACTTTTATTTAGTTTTCAGCCTATAAGTCCTGTACATATTTTGTGGATTTATACTTAAATATTTAATTTTTTTGGAAGCAATTGAAAATAGTATTGTATGTTTAATTTTGGTATCCATGTTATTTATTGGTAGTATATGGGAGTAACAATTGATTTTTGTATTTATCTTGGATCCTGCAACCTTGCTGAATTCACTTATGAATTCTAGGAGTTTTGTTATAGATTCCTTGGGATTTTCTAGGTAGGTAATTGTGTCATCTGCAGATAGGGTTATTTTTATTTCTTCCTTTTCAATTTGTATGCCTATAATGCTTGCCTCATTGTTCTGGCTAGAAATTTCAGCATGATATGGATTTAAGACCTTTGGGGAGAGTATTCACTCCATGATGAAAACCACTAAATAGGATGTTAACTGTAGGTTTTTTGTAGATGTCTGTATGAAGTTTCTATTCCTATTTTCCTTATTTATTTATTTATTAAAAAAATCATGAATGGGTGCTTAATTTTGTTAGGTGCTTTTCCTACCGTTAATACACTTTTTTTTCCTTTAGTCTGTTAATATGGTAGATTACCTTCTTTGATTCTGAATATTTAACTTAAGTGGAGTAAGCCCCACTTGATATGGCATATAACTTCTTTATATATTATGGAATTGCATTTATATTTTGTTAAGGAATTTTGTGTCTATTCATGAGAGCTGTTGTCTGTAGTTTTCTTTTTTCATACTGTGGTTTTGATATTGGGAGTAATACTAGCTTCATAGAATGAGTTGGGAAAAATGCTTCTACTTTTTCTATATTCTGGAAGAGAATGTATAGAATTGGTGTTAATTCTTTAGATGGTGGGTGCAGTTCTTCATTGAAACTATCTGGACTTTCATATTTCCTTTTTGGTTGTTTTTAAGGGACAAATTAAAATTTAAAAATAGTTACAGGGCTGGGGTGCCTGGCTGTGTCAGTTGGAAGAACATACGACTCTTGATCTCAGGCGTGAGTTCAAGCCCCACGTTGGGTGTAGAGATTCCTAAAAAAAAAATAAGTAACATTATGGAAAAAAAAAAAAGTTACAGGGCTATTCATATTACCAGTTTTATAATTGGTGAGTTGGAGTAGTTTGTGTTTTTCAAGGAAGGGATTCATCTTATCTAAGCTGTCAGTTATGTGTGTGAAGTTGTTCATAGTATTCCCTTCTTGTTCCTTTGATGTCTGCAGGATCTGTACTGATATCCCCTCTTTCATTTCTATTAGTGGTGATTTGTATTCTCTCCTTTTCTTTGTCAGTGTTGCTAGAGGTTTATCAATTTTATTGATCTTTTCAAAGAAGCAGCTCTTTGTTGACTTATTTTTTTTCTATTTTAAATTTCATTGATTTCTGCTCTTATATTTATTTTTACCTGCTTTCTGCTTGCTTTGGGTTTATTTTGTTCTTTTTTTAGTTTCCTGAGGTGGGAGCTTAGATTATTGATTTGAGACTCTTCCACTTTTCTGTGCATTGTTACAAATTTCCCTCTTATCACTGGTTTATCTATGTCTTACAAATTTTATTATGTTGTATTTTCATTTTCATTGAGTTCATTACATTTTTTTCATTTTCCTAGCAGCTTCCTCTTTCATTATTGTGTTACTTTCTTCTGGCCTCTGTGGTTTCTGATGAGAAATTTGCACCCAACTTATTTTCTTCTGTAAGTAAAGTATTTTTCTCTTGCTGCTTTCAAGATATCCTTTCTTGTTTTTATATTTCAAATCTTTTTTTTTTTTTTTAAAAATTTTATTTATTTATTTGAGAGAGAGAGAATGAGAGAGAGCATGAGAGGGAAGAGGGCAGAGGGAGAAGCAGACCCCCTGCTGAGCAGGGAGCCTGATGTGGGACTCGATCCCGGGACTCCAGGATCATGACCTGAGCCGAAGGCAGTCGCTTAACCAACTGAGCCACCCAGGCGCCCTTGTTTTTATATTTCAGAAGTTTAATTAGGATGTGCTTAGGGGTAGATACCTTTGGAATTATCCCTTTTGACATTTGCTCAGCTTCTTGATTCTGTAGTTTTATGGCTCACCAAAATGGAAGTGTTTTAGTCATTATTTAGTTGAGTACTTTTTCAGTCCCACTTTATTTTTCCTCTTCTTCCTTAGACTCTCATGACATAAATGTTAAGATTATTTGTTACAGTCCCAAAGATCTTTGAGGGTCTGTTCATTTTTTTTTTTTTTTTTTTTACTCTCTGTTGCTTACATTGAGTAATTTTCATTGTTATATCTTCTAGTTCATGAATTCTTTTACTCTCTTTCCTTGATGCTGCTGTTGAGGTCATGCGCTGAGCTCTTTATTTTTCAGTACTTTGCAGTTCTAAAAATTTCCATTTGGTTCTTTATTATTTTCATTTTTGCTGAGGCTTTCTATATTTCATTTTTGTGTTTGTAATTGCTCATGGAATCATTTTTTATATTTATTTATTTATTTAAAGATTTTATTATTTTGACAGAGCACAAGCAGGTGGAGCAGCGGGCAGAGGGAGGGGGGAGGGAGAAGCAGCTCCCTGCTGAGCAAGGAGCCTGGTGCAGGGCTTGAACCCAGGACCCTGGGATCATGACCTGAACCAAAGGCAGATGCCCAACCAACTGAACCACCCAGGGGCCCTGGAATCATTTTTTAAAAAAGATTTTATTTTTAAGTAATCTGTATATCCAAAATGGACTTGAATTTATAGCCCAGAGAGGAAGAGTCACATACTCTACAGACTAAGCCAGCTAGGTGCCCTTTATTGAGTCATTTAAAAAAAAATGATTTTTTAAAAAAATTTTATTTATTTATTTGACAGAGAGAGGAAGGGAGAGAATAATCAGGGGAAGCAGCAGGCAGAGGGAAGGGGAGAAGCAGACTCCCCGCTGAGCAGGGAGCCTGGCTCGGGGCTGGAGCCCAGCTTGGGGCTCGATCCCAGGACCTGGGATCATGACCTGAACTTGAAGGCAGATGCTTAACCGACTGAGCCACCCAGGCACCCCATTGAGTCATTTTTATTATGGCTGCTTTAAATCTTCATCAGATAATTCTAACATTTGTCAGATGTTAAAATTACAAATATCTCAGTGTTGGCTCCTATTGATTGTCTTTTTTCATTCAGTTTGAGATCTTCTGGTTCTTGTTACGACAAATGATTTTTGATTGAAACCTGAACATTTTTGTGTTACGTTATGAGACTTTGCATCTTACATAAACCTGTTTTAGCTGGCTTTCTCTGACACGTGCCTGACAGGAGGGAGTTGTGGGTGTCATACCCTTTTGCCAGGTGTGGGATGAACTTAATGTTCCCTGTTGGGCCTTTGTTGACATTTGAAGGGAGGCTGATTTTTTTTTTTTTTTTTTAAGATTTTATTTATTTATTCATAAGAGACAGAGAGAGAGAGAGAGGCAGAGGGAGAAGCAGGCTCCCCACTGAGCAGGGAGCCCAATGTGGGACTTGATCCCAGGACTCTGGGATCATGACCTGAGCCAAAGGCAGACGCTTAACCATCTGAGCCACCCAGGCGCCCCTAAAGTTCTCTTTCTTAAAATACAAATTTTATCCACTATTTTTCAAAACTTACTTTTTGCCCTATTCTCATATTCCATATTCTCTTCCTCCTCACCACTTTTCCTCCTGCTTTTCCAGACCATCAATTACACATGTTAGATTTCTTGACACTGTACAATAGGTCCCTGAAGCCTTGTTAATTTTTTTCCACTATTTTCTCTTTTTCAGATTAAAGATGAG